GAGCCATAGCCCTGGAGGGCGGAGGGGCGCCAGGGCCCTGCATCCTGCTTGGTTGCCGGGGGTCACCGGGGCCCCGCATCCTGCTTGGTTGCCAGGGCCCCACATCCTGCTTGGTTGCTGGGGGTCACCGGGGCCCCACATCCTGCTTGGTTGCCGGGGGTCACCGGGGCCCCACACCCTGTGCAGTCATTGGAGTGCCAGGGCGCTGGGGCCCGTACCCTGCTTGGTTGCCGGGGGTCACCTGGGCCCCACATCCTGCTTGGTTGCCAGGGCCCCACATCCTGCTTGGTTGCCGGGGGTCACCGGGGCCCCACATCCTGCTTGGTTGCCGGGGGTCACCGGGGCCCCGCATCCTGCTTGGTTGCCAGGGCCCCACATCCTGCTTGGTTGCCGGGGGTCACCGGGGCCCCACACCCTGTGCAGTCATTGGAGTGCCAGGGCGCTGGGGCCCATACCCTGCTTGGTTGCCGGGGCCCCGCACCCTGCGCCGGGGGGAAGAGGCGGGAGGGGGCTGGGGGCACCGGGCCATGGCCCTTTCGCTGCTCAGTCTCTCGCCAGCAGGACCCTAGAGCAAATCCCAAGGGGGAACGTGCAGCTTTCCCACGTGCCTGGCCCGCCTCTCCTGCTTTCCCTCCTGCCTGGCCTGCCTCTCCCCCGCTGGGCCTGTGCTGGGGGGGGCCAGGCCTTAGGCTGCGGCCAGAGAAAATCACCTGGTGAGTTACTAGACTAAACTTTGTCAGGAGCTCAGGTCCTGCCTGGGCAGAGGCGCCCGCTCCCTGCTGCAGGGCGGCATCGGACGTTCGCGCCGGAGGCCGCTTTTCTGGGCGGGGGGTGAATGGCGATTGTCCCCTAGACTGGCCCCCTGGCTGTTTTGCTTGGGCTCTCTGGCCCCTCCTCTGTGGCCGGTCGCCCCGCCTCGAGGCCTTATTCGCGCCCGGAAAGGACGGGTTTGTGAATAAACAGACCAAACGGGTAAACCACGGGCTGGTCCGATTCCTGTTTTCCAGCTCAAACTGCAGGACAGAGAATTCTTCAAGTCCCCAGCTGAACCCGTGCGGCGTTGCTGTGCGCTCCGTCTTCCAGTCGCCAGACTGAACAAGCCCAGTTCTTTCAGCCTTCCCGCCTAAGTCATGTTCTCTAGACCAGGGGTGGGGAACCTTTCTTGAGACGGGGGCCCCTGACCCACAGAAAAATCAGTCAAGGGCTGCACCCACATTAGAAGGGGGGGGGGAACCTTCTTTGTGTCCCTTGACTGAGGAGAAAGATATTCCCCTCGCAGACCAGAGCCTGGGGTGGGGTGAGCTTAGAAGATTTTGTGTGCTCCAGCCCCCAGGAGAGTAGCAGGCGGGTAGGGGCATTGGTGCAGGCTTCCCATTGCTGGAGTGAGCCTTGAGCCTCAGGGGCCCGATTCAGGTATGCCGAGGGTTGCCTAGTGGCCCCTGGGGCTAGCGGGATTTGAACCCACCACCTTGAGCTCTGGAGGCCGGCACCTTATCTGTGAGCCCACCACCCCACTTTTCCCAGATGCCTTATCCTGCCCCCCTTCAGCCTGGTACCTGCTGCAGACCTGGGAGAGCAGAGGTGGCTGCTTGGCAGATCCCGGGATTCGAACCCTGCCCTAGGCCTGTAACTGGTTGTGTTGCTCTTCACTGGACCTTCTCCAGTCTCTCCACCTGGGTCCTGTAACGTGGAGCCCAGAACTGGACGCAAACCGCACACAATGGAGCAGAAAAATGGCTGGGTGCCTTGCTCACCACGCTCCTGTCTGTGCAGCCCAGCATGAGGTTTGCTTTTTTTTTTTGCAAGCTGACTCATGGTTAGCGTGTGGTCCATGACGACCCCAGATCCCTTTCTGCAGAGCTCCTTTGAACTCTCTTGTAACCGCTCTGCAAAACGCCCTCTGCCTTCCTCTTCCTCACAGCACAGGGGCAGATGGGGCTAGAACCCAGGACCCCACCCCCCAGAAATGTCTTCACCCCTCTTACTAAAGACCTGTGTCCATAGCTTGCCTGCTAAGTGTCCCCAGCGAGGGCCTTGCCTGGTGCCTTCTTGCCCTTTGGACTAAGCCTTCCCCTTGCTCCACCCCCTGTGGAAGGTGCTCCCCAGTTCAGCCCCAGGTACATCATCCCACAGCTCCTGGCAGAGAAAGAGGAAATGGGGGTTTCCTGCTGGAGCCGGCCCAGGCAGAGCCGGAAAATGCACAGCCGGGGCTCCTGTAGAGCCAGCCCAGGAGGGAACCCACATAGGGTTGCCAGATGGTTTCAGAAAAAATACCAAACAACAACAAGAAACACACCAGGAAAAAGTTTGTTGAGTCAAAAAAAACACACCACCAGCGTGGCCCCTTTAAGAAACGCATGACGTGGCTTTTCGGCCCTAACACGCTGCCAGCAGCCACCTGCCATCTTGCCTCTCTGCCTGGGGCCGGACATCTCCCCTGCAGAATCCGGTAAGCACTAGGGGTGCCAGGCTGCCTCCGTATTGAGCTGGACAGCCCAGGATTTTCGCCTCTTGGCCAGGAAAAAAAAAATCAAAAGTACCGGACAGTTTCGGTGTCTGGTATTTTCTGAATTATTTTGCCGGACAGGAGGCGAAAATACCAGACCGCCCAGTTCAATGCCGGACACCTGGCAACCTGAAGCCCACAGCTGTGACCTGCGGCAGGGCCAGGCCCAATATTTCAGCTCCATTTCCATGGGCTGGGATTCGAGGCAGGACCAAGCCCCCTTCCCCGTCACTGCCCCAGTGAAGCCGCCTTGAGAGCTCGTCTGTCTGGTTTTCCCTCTGGCTGGGAGCAGCTTGCCCAGGGAGGCATGTGCAGAAGGAGGGTGGTTGCTAGGACCCTGCGCAGGGCTGCATTCAGACACAGACAGTGTCTCCCCAGAGATCTGCCCAGACGTGACCCCCAGGCTGGGACAATGACTGATGGACTATCCAGGAAAGGGGGAGGAGGGGAGAGAGAGAATTTACAGGCACTATAATTGGACCACAACAAAAGAGAAACCCAGCCAGCCCCCTCCAGTGTCCTAAAAAAAAGCACAAGAGGCTAATGTGGGAACATCCCTCCCAGGTCCATCCCTGCTCCACAAAGCCCCCCATTTCCAGAGCTCTGCCGAGAGGAGAATCCATGGGGATCAGCTGCTCACTGTGTGTGGGAATTGCTGGGGGCATTGCCCTGCATGTGCAGAAGTCCCCCACTTTCTCCCCCCACGCGCACCAGGACTGTGATTGAAGGATTCGAAATTACACCTTGTTCTAGTGACGGACTCCAGGCGCTCGTGAGCTCACCGAAGAGAAGGGGAAGGGGCGACGGGATCGCACGCTAAGTGACCATGCACCGGGAAGTTACGCAGTGCTGGGCTCTTCAAACACCAGCTGGTGGCTGGAAATTGCAGCCAGAGCAAGTGAGACTAGAAAAAAAGGTGTCAATTAACCAGCAGCACAAGGGTGGAGTCTCCATCAGAGGCAGCTTTTGTATCACACTTGGACTTTTCTGAAAGCTCCGGTCTCAGGGTTACTGGGAGGACCCGATGGGTCCCTCTGGCCTTGAGCTCTATTGTAACAGCTCTGCAAGGCCCCCCCCCCATCACTGCACAGATGGGGCTAGAACTCAGAGCTGTCCCAGAAACGTCAGCACACTTCCCACTTAACCTAAAGGCAACTCCTCAGTAGGCCCCCTATGACACGCAGTTGAACAGTTCCAAGGCTGAACAGCAGGGGGCAGTGGTGTGCATATAGGGGGTGATGCCTTCTGTGACTCAGTCCTCAAGGTCCTGCCTTCCAGATCTTGGCAGGTTTGCTAGACAGGGGTCACTCACCTTAGCAATACAGCCCCGTGAACCTACCTTCACAGCCCATCAGGGGGCTGCAAGATTGTCGTGACCAAGACGGGCTCCCACGGTAGGGTCGTTTCGCTCCCTGCTTTTGTGGGACTAGAATTTGTGGGCGGTGCCAACTGACCCGTCGCTGTGCTTTGATTGGATGCCGAGGGCGTGCCTGGCAGTCATTGCTCCATGCAATCAGCCTGCCTCTCATTTCACATGCCCTGGCTTTATGTGACTGTCACTTCAGCAACACCGGTAGGGACAAAAAAAAACCTACGTGGACGAAAACCGGGAGAATCTGGCAACACGGCGCATGCGCAACGGCAAACCCCGTGTCCACCGCTGGGTTAGACCGACACCGGGCAGGAACAGTCCAGCTCACGCTCAGTCCTGCCAGTTGGAGTCCTGCGTGCATCTTGCAAAGCAGCTAAAGGCCTGACTAAGTTGGGCTGGCTGCATGTTCCTTCCCCACCTCTTGCTGCTGGCCCTGGCCTGCTCCCTTTGGAAAGCCACAATGAAAACTAACCCAACAGCGCCTCCTGCTGCCAGAAGGCTCCGCTGCACCCTTTGCAAACACACAGCTGGTGTCGGGATTCTCCTACAGCAGCTGCTTTTCCCCCCCATCTGTACCTGGCAGGAGGCTGCTGCCTGGCCTCCGCCTGCAGCCTTGTTACCATCACTCCTGCCTTGCATGTTGGGGGGCAGTAGGAAGTCTGGGATGTGGGGGGGCTGGAGTCAAGGCTTCAATGGCTGCTCTGCAGTATGTGGCCTAGGTTGGAACTAGGTTCAGCTCCACATCTGTGCAGCACCCGCCGCAATGGGATCACAGGCAGGGTTCCCGCTAACTTTTCCCCCCCGGCGGGTGAGCAGAATAAATTTTGTTATGTGCACCAAGGCATGTGCAGATGTGCACCAGCAATAGAAACACAGGCTGTGGGCGCTCTGCTAATCAGCCGGTGGTACCACCACAGGGGGCTCGTGCTGACCCCCTGGGCCAGCAGCCAAACAAACCTGCCAGCAACTTTCTTTCCTTCTTAGCCGGGGGCGGACTGCTGAGAGAAACAGTCGCCACGCCATGTCTCTCCCGGGCTCACCGAAGACACCAGCCCAGCCCCCGACTGACCAAAGTCCTCCACGCACCCAGAACAGCCCCAGCCAGGGAACAGTCAGTCCTGGACACCTGAGCCAAAGGGACATTCAAGAAGCTTTTGGGGGTGGGTTTCAGGAGCTCATGCACCATGCCAGAACGCCTGGCCCCAGTCAAGTCTGTGGGAGCTTTACCAGTGAAGTCAGAGGCCTGACACCCACGATACTCGCGTTGACGTAGTGGTGCGTCGAGTTTGATTGGGCGGTGCTCTGGGATTGCCCTCGCTCAGAGACGCCAGGAGATGGGATGCTAGTTCACCATTTCCACTCTGTGTTGCCCTCCTAGGCTCCCTCCGTGGCTGCATTTATCTGGGGTCGTGGCTTCCCCAGCCTACACGGCTGCTCCATCCACCTGGAGAAGGCTGCCCAGCTGGGCCCCGAATGGATGGTCTGAGACAAGCAGAGCTCTGTCTCACGCTGGCTTCCTCTCTGTGGTTCGGTAGCTGCGTTGCGCAGAGGCTGTTGGGAGGACCAGGGATTGGCCTATCGCCCACCCCCAGCCGTCCTCTGGGTCTTGCCTTTAAAATGTCCATCTCCACGTAGCTCCCAGGTGACTGGAAGGGAGGCGCCGTCCCATCGTGTCACGGTGCCAGCCCCATGGAGGGACCTTGTCAGTCAAATATTCTTTCCGTGGCCCGAGGACGAGAGGGGCGCGCTCCCGTGTCAGCCGCTACCACCACAACCAAGAGGAGGGTGGCGAGAGGTTTCTAGAACGCTGTTCAGCACCATCACAGGCCTGCTAGGCTGGGAAAGACATTTAGGAAGGACCCAACATTGACCCAGGAACAGAGAACGCAAGGAGGTGCCTGCCTAGACCCGCCGAGGGAAGCTCTCCAGAACAAGGCCTGGTGTCTGCAAGTCAGCCCGGGAGCCGGCCATCTGGTCGACAGGCAATCTGGGATAATGAAAACATCTCTCCTCTAGGACAGCCAAAGAGATTTGAGCAGGCTCAACGTCCCTAGATTCAGCAGCGCTCAGCGAGTGGGGAGCTTATCAGCTGCTGGGCTCCGTTGAAAGTCTGGTGCCCTCCCGACACTGGCCCCCGGTCTGTCTAGTGCAGACTAGGACCCCCATTTTGTCCTGCCGTAGTCTGGCGAGTGCAACCGACGCCCCCTCGTGGCAGAGATGCAACACAGAGGCCACCCCAAGAGACTCCAGAAAGTTAATTTTTTATTAAATATACTCCTCTCTTGGCACAGATTTTAAAATATATATATAAACATTCTATAACAAAGTGTCTTCACTGCATTAAAATAGAACTCCTGCGCCAAGGAAAACTGTCCTTTTTGACACACACTGACGAGAACATCTCTACAAAAAGGCATTTGTGCTCTGTGCATAGACAGTCAGCAAGAGTCCCAGCAGAACATGTCATTAAAGAGGATACAGGGTGGGCAGGAGGAACCAGACGCTGCAAAGGAAAAGCCCTTCTATAATCCTTTTCTACAATCCGGCTCCAAGTCATAGAGCGAGCCCCAAACATACACACGTACGGTTTTCAATGCAACTTTAAATCGTCTCTAAAACTTTGCTTCCCCTTTGCCGCCAGCGCTGTACCCGCCGCTCCCGGATGCCACTCGGCTGGGGGCTGCCGGGTAAACATGCCATTTGTTCCACACGCCTTGTTTTAAAGAAGAAAAAAAAACAACCCACGTTTCTTCACCAATGCACCAGCCGTTTCTGAGTTCAAGCAACCCCTGCGCAAGACCAGTCATGCTACACCCTGCCGGGCGCTGCTGGAGATCGTACCGTCATTCCCTCTGGCCAGTTGCTGGACTGGGCTTCTAAAAGCTATCGGTGGATATTCCTGCCCCACTGGCCGGCTCGCAGGGATCGTCTGCCTCATCACTTCCACGGGTCTTTAACACTTACCGGGGTCCAGACTCTGCCTGCTTTCTCTACCCAAGCCCTCCGCACGCAGAGAGCTGCCTTCCACCTTAGCTGCTGGCCTGTGCGCCCATCCCCTGGAACTCACAGGCCCTGCAGCCACGTGGGCCTGGAGAACCAGGAGACGGCTTGGGGCCATGTGTGGGCTCCTAATAGCAGCCAGGGGTCTGCACCAATCAGGCAGGCTCTGCCTCTCCAGCGTCCCATCCGGTTTCTGAAGCGCTAGTGCCCAGTGCCAGACACCCAGGCGGTGACCCGTTCCCACGGCCAATGCGCCAGGCGCGGGCACTGGGAGGAGCCCAGGGGAAGGAGCTGCCATTCCCCATCCAGCAGGGAAGGGACCTCACGAGGACTTCCCAAAGGAAGAGCCATCCCCGGTACCGAACCCGCATGAGAAATGAAACCCCTCCCTCCGCATTTGACAAGGAGGGTTCCAGAGCAGGAGTGTGCTGGGAACCAACACCAAATGCTGCGTTTCTGCCCTATTCTCCATCAGACTTGCCTTCCCCCGACAGCCCATGGTGGGCCGAGGGAGAGGGGAGCTGAAAAGAAGGAAATGCAAATTAACGGCATTTGGCTGCTAATTACTCCAGTAAGACGCCTGCCCATTTTAAGAAATGGTTGCGCCATTGGAGGTCAGATGGTCAACAACCCCACAGAAACGAGAGGGGTGAGGGAGGGAAAAGGCTGACATGGAACCTGCCTCCTTTCTGATGGGTCCACAACACGCCCATGAGAAAGTCCTGGACCAAACACACCATCCCCTTCCACCCAGCGGGCTAGAGAAACTTCAGGGTCCCTCAATTTCAGACAGCAGCTTTGGGACACATTTTAATCCACGGACAAAAATAAAAGTAGTAAGCGCATGCGGTCCCCCCCTCGTACTTCCGAGCAGGGGGAGACCAGCTATTTAAAAGGGACACACTGCACACAGCTCTTTCAAGAGCCCCCTTGCTCAAGGAACCCAAGAGAACGGCTAACAGAATCAGACTGAAATCAGGCTCTGGACTAACAGTCAGTAAAAACGTTTGGCTACAAGAGGTTTTCTTAATTCGTTACTAATTCGCCCCTCTGGGTCCAGCACTTTCTTCAAGTTTCTCGCCTTGGAGTTTGTCCGTCTAGAGTTAATTCGTTACTAATTCACTCCTCTGGGTCCAGCACTTTCTTCGAGTTTCTCGCCTTGGAGTTTGTCCGTCTAGAAGCCTGGACCGCAGTTCCGTTTCTGCGTCAGGGGCTTTCCCCACGGAAGCATCCCCTATCGCCAGAGACGGGGTCTCCCGAGGAACTAAGCTCGCGCCGGGGTCTCTCCACACCCGCCGAACCTGGCAGAATTACTACCATGGATCGCATACTGCTCTGAGATCTCCCCTCACTCCTCCCCATGAGCCCCATCCAACACCAGGGACCAAGGCAGGGACCAGCTTTCCCGTGGGGCAAGGAACAGGCCTGAGTTCTTGAAGAGACACCTGTCGCCACCCTCCAGAGCTCTGCCCAGACAACAGGTGAACACCCTCCTCCCACCAACGGGCTTGGCTGTGCCTCTAGGGCACGTTCGTAGCAGCGTCACAAGAGTTTCCAGTTTCGGAAATCTTTTTTTTTTTTTTTTAATCAAATGACTTTGTACTTCGACAAAAGTGACCAGAGACGTTGGCTTGACACTGGAGATGGTCTTTCCGCCAGACACCTTCCAAAGGTTATGACCAATCTGTGCTCTTGGCACAATACTGGCCCTAAAAGAAAAGTGCACACCAAGACGCCCTATCTAGACTGTCTGGCCAACCCCACGAGAAGAGAACAGACTCAGGGCTGGAGCAGCTGCCTGTCATTAATCACGATGAAAATATTTGGCATGCGAGGCAGGTTCTGCTCCCAAGAGTGGGCGCAAAGCCGAAAGAAGAGAGGGGTTAATTTTCCAACTGTGCAATTAGCTTCAATCTCGCAAATGAACTCTTGATACAAGGTTTGAATGTCAACAATAATGAAGATCTGTGTCCGGAAGGGACAGCTTTTAATGACAAACAATTGATGCCCTCTACTCCCTCTCGGATCCAAACAAGCAAGCAGTCCTGCCACGTGGAAAGGAGTATCTGAGAGGGTATCGTGCTCGGAGGTGCGGGGATATTGGGGTCATTCTAGAAGGCTGGACAATTCTCCCACCTTTCTTGTGTGCCATGTTGAAAATAAAGCCACCTGTCTTTGAGTTTCTCAAAGCTCTGATTCCAAAAACATTATCAGCATTGAACAGTCACACTCAAAAGGTGCACTAGGGTCTGTTTCACGCTGGCACCTGGGAAGGACTGGCAGGATTCCCAGGGGGTAACAATTACAGACTCAGTTTACCCAGAGTAATATTTTCCAGCATGATTCTAAGAATAAGCTAATGGGATCAAAGTTAATCAGCTGCAGTGACATGACCTACACATGCATGCGCACACACACACACACACACAGCGCGTTCCAAAGCCACACCCATAGCTTTAGATAAAGATAAGGTTGAACCCATTCAAAAGCAGTCACCTTGAAAAGTGCCCCTCCCCCCACACAAACACACACACAGTTTATTCTCACACTGCAACCATAGTCATGAAGGATAAAATCGGTTACACTTGGAGTATGGAACACTTCCCCCTTTAAATCTCCGGTCTTAATACTGCAATCTGCTAAATCCTTCCAAAAACTACCGCCTTGAAGACCACAGACCAAGGACAAAGAGGTTTTTAAAAGTAGCCTGAAAGCAACACTGTGTTTCTATTGTAAACTGGAGCCCAGCTCGGGCTCGGTGCTGAAGGAAGGCCTGAAAGCTGATCTCCCCCGTCTCTCGGTCTTTGGAAACGTTGGAGAGGGGCACAGCTGAGGTGGAAAGTTTTTGTCCAGACCGAGCGATATCTGAAGAGAGCGATACTTCCAGCCAGAGCAGACGGCCACAGTTTGGAGGAAAAAACGGTTTGAAATTAATTCAATTAAAAAAACCAGTTAAATCTTAGACGCGCTCTTTCAAAGGCTTATTAACCCTCTTGGCGCTCATATGAAGTTCCCTGCAGGCTGGGACTGAAATACTGCTTGACGGGAGGCTTACAGATGTGTAGTTACTAAGAACTGCCTCGCAGGGACTGCTTTCTCCATCCTAATTTCCAGCATCGCATCCGTTCTTCTATTATCCAAAGCTCCCTCATCTGCCCACTAATCCCAGGAGAGGAGCCGGCTGCAGCTTAGTGTGTTTGGCAGGCTCAGTTCCTGGTGTGAAAAAGTGAAACACGAGAGTGAAACACAGCACCCCTAGAGAAGGCCGCTCTGCTGTTACCCAGAACCACGGGGAGAGTTCTTAGTGAAGGTTAGTGGCAGATCTGGGTTAGGAGAGAACTTGGAGGCTCATTAAAAAAAGAGAAAAACAAAAAGTAAAGCCGAAGGGGGCAGCGCTGAGAAGACGGGGCAATACTAGTGTTTGTCCCCCATACACACACGGTCCTTCTCCCCTGTGAGCCTTTGGGGAGGGTACCACTACCTCTCGATATTCGCACTCAGCTGCAATTTACGGAGAAGGATCTGGGTGATGTCAAAGGTCGTGAAACTTATTCCCACGGCGATTGGACCTTTGACCCAGTTCATGCTGAGTCCTTTGTACAAGCCTCGGATCAGTCCTTCCTCTCGGATGATCTCCCGCATGGTGAGGAGGATGGAACTGTACACGTGTCCCATGACCCCCGCCGTCTGCATTCGCCGACGCACCACGTCCAGAGGGTAGGAGGCCGACTGGCCGATCAAGCCGGCGCAGGCACCGAACACGAGACGTTCCACGGGGTACGGCTGGGCTCTCCCGCTGTGATCTGGGAAGGAGGGAGGAAGAGGCAGCGTTTAAATAGCTTCCCAAAGCAATCACGTTGTTATCAGGCTATACGGGCCTATGGCTGACACAGCAAAGCGGGTGTCAGGTATCCTGGAGTCTCTTCCGCTCGCTGGCCTTTGAGCGTGTGTTTATTTTGCTGTCAGATGGGGACGATGTACTACTCCCCGGGACGACATAGGTGGGGAAAGAGGCGACCTCTTTCGGAGCAGACCTGGGGAGGCAGCTTTCAGCTGGCGCCCAAGCGCCAATGCTTGGAGAGGCTAGCTGGCTGCCAGGCTGAGGTCCCAGCACTAAGCCATCGGCATCCCAACGCCGCCCGCACCTTACCTGCGTGCAGCTTTTTCAGCGACTCGTAGGTGAAAAAGCTGAGCCCGGCGTAGGGGATCACCCCGAGGATCGTGGGCGCAAAGCCCCTGTACAAGGTCTTCAGCCCCTCCTCCCGGGAGATCCGGATGAAGACGTGCAGGATGTTGCTGTACCTGTCGAAGCACAGACACACAGCCCCGCCCCAGACGTTACCGACTGGCTTGCTGCCAACACCCCTCTCCAGGGGGACGCCAGGTAACCTGCTTGCTCGGACGGAGAACTTGGCCAACATTCCGCCCTGGGCACATGACAGAGACTCGGGAAAGAGCCGGTTGTGCAAAGCCAACGCTCTCCGATAGCTCTG